AGTCAAATTGAGTCAAGTTTAAAATTTATATAACTCAAATCAAATCAAATTGAAAGATTTTATAAATAAATTTGACTTGACTCGACTCGAAAAAAATGAGTCAAATAGAGTTAGTCTTTAAATTTGACTTGACTCAACTCATTCGGAACTCTAAACATGAACTAGTGAATAAACAGAATAAGATAGGAGTAACTGAGAATGAGTCTTAGATAGTCAATTCATACTAAAGTTTTATTTTTCGCTTTCTTTTCCTTATCTCATTACTAATTTTCTTCCTATGTACCTTATCTAAGAAAGAATCTGTCTCTCTATCATCCTCTAATAATTTAGATTTAGTAGTATTATACTGATCTATAATTAAAGGTATATTAGTTTGATCTAAAGGTATTGAATTGAAATCTTGAGATATAGAGTTAATATTATTTTTTTTAATAGAATGATCAGAGTAATCTAATTGCTTTAAAATCTTCTTAATAGATGGCAAAATAGATGATTGTGAAGTTATTAAATGAATTGAAGACTTTGGTATAGATGTATTGCTTTCTGCTAAAATATTAACAGCATTTTGTTTCTGTTTGGTTTTTCTGATATCATCATTTAATTTAGTAATAAGTGTGATCTTTTCTTTATCTTTCTGTTCTAAGTTCGTGAATCTGACTTTATATTCTTTCAAAATATACTTTAACTTCACATTCTCAGTTTTGACTTCTATATTTTCAGCTTTAACTTCAGCATTCTTTTTTCTAAGTTCTGTAATCTCAGTTAAGAACTTTGAATTTATTTCTTTTAATGAATCGATCTCAGATTGCATGTTTGATAATATTTTTTTTTATGTGAGATAAAATAATTCAAAATTTGAGTTAGTATAGTAATAGATAAAAAAATCATATGTGTATGATAATTTTTCATACATATCACTGATCCAGACTAGTTAGATCAGTAGAATATCCATTCTGAGACTAATATTCTTTCATCAGCTCTATATCGCTGACGCATTTGAGATAGAACTGAATTTTGATTATTTCATATACTTAGATCTAAAAGGCTTTATGCAAGTCTAGACCTGATAATGAAGTATATGTCTTATATTTCTGATATACCTTAAAAAATTCATTTAGTAATTGGTTATCTTGAACTAGTGCTAGGTTATCTTTACCTCTTTAGATTTTAATACTAGAGAAGTTGAAAGGGTATTCAATCCAGTTAATTAAGTGTATCTTTTGCTTTAAAGAGACTATTCATTATCCACTTTATATTTTATATTTATCTTTAATCAGCAAAAAAACAAAATTAGCTAAGTCTGATGCTCTTAAAGAGACCTTGCTAGTAGATTACTACTCTAGCTTTTCTATTATCTCATCTAGTATTTGTATCCGGATAGTATCTGAATAAAAAAGATCTGTTATATTAAGAATTTTCATATCTGGTTACCCGATAAAATTTTTTTTATTAACCCAGATATTCATTCGAATTAATCCTTTATCTTTGCGTTAAGTATCCAAATCAATAAAACATTTAAACATTTATATAAAAAAATCATTTATAAAATATTAAAGCCAAAAATTTCAAAATCTTTATTATAACTAAGTATTATAAACTATAGCTTATTCAGCTGAAGGATGAATATTAATAAAATTATGATCATTTCTTTTCAAGAACATAATACAATTAAATAATTCAGGTTTAATTCTTGATCTTTTAATGGTCAAAATATTATTCGCATCTGAAAATAACCTTTCTGAAGGGTTGATGCTACTCGAATACCCAACATCTTCCTAGCCAATTAACTTATAATTGGAAATTTTTCTTTTTTTTCATTCCATCAAATATACGGATCTTTTTCAAATGAGATTTCTTCTAATTCCAAATATTCAATTACTTTATTTTTAGCTACTTTTAGACTGGTAAAGGTATCAAAAAATGATCTTTTTTTTCGTTATTGTGATGGAGTTAGAGGTAAAGGAGTAGGATTAGATTGATCTAACTTTATATTATCATATTGTTTATATAATTCATTCTCTGTATCTTTCTTTTGTTCTTGTGTAATAAATTTTAATTTTTTGAAGCGTAGATCTAGAAGAGCAGCCAAAAGAGCTTCTAAGGAGGTAAGTTCAAAATAGTGAATTAATGCCTTATACAAATTCTTTTTTATTTGATCAAAAGTCCTTGAGTTTCAACAGGTATATTAATATTAATTTTAATTTTTTCTTGCAATTGAATTTGATCTTCATTTTTTTCCAATTCTGGAATTTCAT